AACATCCTTCAAATTTTGTAAAATTCCAATTCGATCGGAATTTGCCGATTCCTTACCGGCTTTAACTTTTTAATTTTTCTTTACTAAAATTCCAAATCCAACAATATGATTTCCATAAAACTCCAATCTCAAGAGTAAACCATATATTTATGGAATAAAATTATTTTTAGGAAATTATCACTTAATTCCCTAAACTTTTCCCATACTTTCTACTTTGACCATCAAACTTTCAAAATTTTCATTTTGGTCATTGTCTAAATTTTTGGCGTATTACATAATGCATCTGTGCGGATTTTACCTTGGAATCACAACAACATGCTTTGTTTCATATTTGGTTTTTGTTTCGTTAAAGAACCAGTTGTAGAGAAAGAAATAAAGAAAGGAAAGAACTGGGAAAGAAAAGATTAAAAAAAATGATTTTATATTTCAACAGTACGTGGGAGATAGCTAGAAAAATGGGAAAAATCGTAGGCTCAGTCCTTTGAAATTGGTGAGAACTTAACCTTGTTTATAAGTGTTTACATAATTTTATCTTTAGTTAAATAGTTTAAATTTATTCGATTTAGTCCCTGCTTTTAGTAAATTAAATAGTATTGTGACCCAAAAGATTTTAGTTTTAGCAATTGGGTCATTAAATTACTATTTAAATTCTAATAAGTTATTTTTATGGCGAAGGAAATTATTTTGGATTTGGGTTCGTATATTTGAAGGTTCGGGTTCTTGAGAAAAATATTGGAAGCTACAAATTAAGTCGGTAAGTTGGTTTTCACTGATTAATCACCTGATTCGATCCGTTTTTCGGAATTAAGCCCCGTTTTTGATGAAATGTTTATTGTTATGTATCTGAGGAATTATTGGAAGATGATTTCAAGATCGAGGGCGTTTGAATGGAATTTAATGGTCGATCAATATTGCACAAAAATTGAGGTAATACTTTACTACCTCTTTATGCTTTATGGAACATGTGAATATTGGTAAATGCATGAATGTAAATGTTTGGTCTAATATGTGTAATTAATGAAGTTCTACACTTGATTCGAATATAATAAAAACTCGGTATCTGAATATGGCTCAGATGACTATTATAAGAATTGGAGGACAGATGGAATTAAATTACAAGTTCAGGAATTAAGTGATAAAGGAATCAATCAAGAATATACAGATTATAATTTATCTCATTAAAGGTACTTAAAGGATATATTATGAGAATATTTTGATTAGGCAAAATTACAAAAATACCCTTATGTTGTAGGATGACAAGAATTGTCCCTGGAAGTTGGTTAATAACTCTGAAAAGACATATTGATTCGATATAATTACAAATGTGCATAAGAAATAATAGTTTTGTTTAGAAAATTTGGATAACTGGTTTTTAACGCCAAAAGGGGTTTGTGCAAGATGTTAAAAGGTTTTTAAGGAATAATTTTAAGATCAGAGAATGTTCGAGAAAGCAATTGACCATATGATCTTTAAATTATAATTATTTTCGTTAAGAGCTAATATCAAAATTATCTGGTTAAGAAATTACGAAAATGCTCTTGAGAGGTAAAATAGTCCAAGTTAACCCTGATTGAGAAAGTACTTTGAGGATTTGTACTTAACTCGATTACGTACGAATTTGATTGTTAAGATCCTGACCTAGTGCAGAAAAATTATTGATATTTCGTTGGTAAAAATATGAGAAGGCATTTGACCCGAAAAGATCTAAGTTACGAGTAAATACCTGAAGAACAATTTATCGGGGGTGCTCTTTTATCAAAATTATTTGAAGGGACTGAAATAGATGATAAATTGGTATTAAATAATAAGATCGGATGGAAGGAAAAGATTGAAATACCGTGGATCTATAAAATGACCAAAATACCCATGGTATGGAAATGACCAAGAATATCACCAAACTCAGGAATGATTGGATATCCCCAAGCTCTGAAATTAATAGAATAAAACTGAGCACCAGAATGACCAAAATACCCTTATGAGCTAGACTAAGTAGAGGTGTTAGACTAATTAAGGAATTCAAATAAACATAGGTGTTGTACTACCCATAAAATTAATAGAACATAATTTAAGTGAGTAGATCAACCCTAAAGCTATGTCAATACCTGAATGGCATAAATATTACTTGAATGTGTGTTCGTCTTCTTAAGTTTGGCTCGATGATGATTTTGGAAGTATTCAGCTCATCTCAACTCTAGATCGCATTCAGTACTACGAATTGGACGTTTTTTGAAAATCAACCACAAAGACTAAATTGAATGGATCGGAAGTACAATATGTATATGAAATTCAGGAACGTTTGAATTACTCTGGAAAATCCCAAAGTAACTAGAATGGTCTTGAATGCTATATGAACTAAGTAACCTCAATGACTGAGGATTAAGTAAGTGATTAGGATAAGCCTGGAAATTCAGATGAACTTACATGATGTATCATCCCTATGGATTATGAACCACAAATCAAGTATATCAGCATTTCATGGTATCGTGGAAGCGTGAAAATGAAATAAAGACCATTAGAATATATGTTCGTCTCCTTAAGATATTTTCAGTGATGACTCAAAAGTTGATTTATGAATAATAATTGTTGGTATTAAAGAGTGAATACCTGGTAGGACAACTAATGGACCGATCAACATGCATTAGTTTTGGGAGTTGTTAAACTTGAGTTATTTCAATAATCCGATTAATCGACGTCGACTATAAATGTCCTGAATCTTCATTTCTTTCTTATCAGCTCAAGTTATATTATGAATAACTGATGATTCCGTTAGTTATTGAACTATTCCTATAGTGATTCTAAATTCTGACATTCTATTGGTAAACTGAAGATCCTAGTTTCTCTGCCCAATAAGATTATCAAGTATCTCTGAATAATATCTGATAAATATTTTGATCCTCTAGTGTGTTCCACATGTACTACATGACAGTTTTATATGTTTCAAATGAATTTTAACGAAAGTATTAATTTACTGGTTTATGAACCATGGCAACATAGTATGTGATCTCCGATTACGGTTTTCATTGAAAAGTATGAATTGTACACGATTTATGAAATAATGGAATTTACTGGTTCATGAATTATGGTTACTGAAATGTGTTATATGGTTTCATGTTTTCATTGGAAAATATGAATTGTTCCTGATTTATAGAATCATGGAATTTAGTAGGTGTGTAGGTGGGTGTAAGGTTCTATGGAACCTACACATTATGGAGTGTTGGTTGGAGGGAATAATATGATTTTTGATAAACGTTTTATGAGAGGGTGTTGTTGGAGGAAGTTAATGTTACTGCAGGCTCCTCTGCTTTGTGCTCAGGGTAAGTCCTTACTTGGTGTATAGGTGGGTGTATGGTTCTGGGGAACCTACACATTATGGAGAGTTTGGTTGGAGGGATTAATATGGTTTTTGGAATAAAAATATGTTTTTAAACTACTACTGTTTAAAAAGAAAAGATTTGTATCTTTTCAATGGTTTTATGGGAACACACTAGATAACCTATTCTGATCTCGTGAACCTAGACATCCGAAATATTTCCATCTGAACTGAAAACTCATTATCCGTTACTATTTGAAATATCAGTAGAATCTCTGATCTGCATGAAAATTCATAGATGTTCGGAACCAATAAGAAAATATATTTTTATCTATATCTGCACGTTCTTCAGCATCACCTGGTAGTTCTGTATTATTGAGCTTTTCGAAGCTCACTCTATTACTCACCATTTTAGGTTAAAAGAATTGTACCAGTATCACTATCAACATCAGTAAGGGAGTTCTTCTGGCATTGCTTGCAGAGTACGGTATATGTGATTAGGGGGCATGTAGATTGTATTTTGTTTTATATATGAGTTTGAAAAACATGTCTTATTTCTGAATAATAATAAATCATTTTATGATTTTACATGTTTTAAGAAAAGTTTCAAAATTTCCGCTATTTTTATAGTGTGTCGCTCCGGTAGCCCTAATGTGACACTCTAGATCAGATCGGGCTATCCGCATCGGTCTGAGGGGGTTATATTTAGTGGTATCAGAGCTATAGTTTGAGGCAAAATTTTCATGATAGACCGATCGGTCGAATGTCAAAATATGTCTGATCATTACATGCCCCTAGACTGCAATCGTACCTCTCTGAGCCGGAACTCCAGGCTAAGTCCCTATCTGTAACGAGTAAACCAAATTTTCTATTCGTTAAGGCTATACTTGTACAAAAAAGAATACCAGTAACATCTGTCTAAACTCTGTAAAGTACCTCACGAGCTATGTTAGAGTTATTCATTTGAGAAATTCTAACTCGACTCTGGAAATAAAATTGGGATATGCTACTGCTTTATCAGCCTATTCTCATGACCAAGACTGAATTGATTACTCAAGGACATTTTCGTTCGGATTCTTTTATTGAAACAAGGAAAAGTTTTGATAAGAATGTATACTCAACTGGTTAAGAATTTGTGGAGGATCCGTATTTCAATAAGAGCTACATGAAAGATATGAAAGAGCTGATAGAAGTTTCATTTTTGCAATTCTGTGACATGAATGAATTTCGAGGACGAAATTCTTTTAAGGAGGGGAGAATGTGTGTAACACCCCAATCTATGAGATAAAATTTCATATGATATTTATAGAAGCGGTCTAATTAAAATTTTGGCTATTAAGGAAATTTGAGAAGGTTGAAGACTCTAACTATAATTTTGCCTTTCTTTGGGTTCAGAAATTCTAGAATTCACGTGAATTCTATACATTATTGATTGATGTGAATTTGTTTATTATTATTAATTTTATAATATAGATAATGGAGACCATAAGTGGAAAGAGTTGTTCAACCACTCCAACATGAAAGAGTTGTCTATGCGTGTAAAGTTCCAAAGTCTTTATCATCACTTTCTTTTCTCATAATTTTTTAAATCACCGAGTGAACTTTCCTTGCCATTTATTCTTCTTTATTTGTACATAAGCTATGCTCTTTCTCCCCCAAAACACATGCAAAAAGATAATCCAAATCGAAGATGGGAATTACAGTAGCAGGCATGGATTTCCTAAGCGATAGAGCAACAATGATGAGAGAAGCTCTTCAAAAGAGCCAAACAATCATGGGAAAAGAAGCTGGTTTATTCGTTTCATCAAGCACAATGGGTAACCTCATTAGTGTTCTTGTTCACTATGATATAAGCGGAAGTGAGGTCATTCTTGGAGACAATTCTCATTTAAATATTTATGAGAATAGTGGAATTTCAACCATTAGAGGTGTTCATCCTAGGCCAGTGAAGAACAATCATGATGGAACTATAGACATCAATTCCATTAAAGCCACCATTAGAGATCGGAGAGAAGCGATTGTTTACCCAACTACGAGGCTGGTTTGCTTGGAGAATTCACATGCAAACACCAGGGATAGAGGTTTGTTTGTAGAATACATAGACAAAGTTGGTGAGCTAACTAAGAAGCACGACTTGAGGCTTCACGTTGATGGGGCTAGAATTTTCAATGATCTGTGCGGATTTTACCTTGGAATCACAAAGACTCGCTTTGTTTCATCTTTGGTTTTTTTTTCGTTAAAGAACCAGTTGCAGAGAAAGAAATAAAGAAAGGAAAGAATTGGGAAAGAAAAGATTAAAAAAAACTGATTTTATATTTCAACAGTAAAGTCACGTGGGAGATAGCTAGAAAAAGGGGAAAAATCGCAGGCTCAGTCCTTTGAAATTGGTGAGAACTTAACCTTGTTTATAAGTGTTTACATAATTTTATCTTTAGTTAAATAGTTTAAATTTATTCGATTTAGTCCCTGATTTTAGTAAATTAAATAGTATTGTGACCCAAAAGATTTTAGTTTTAGCAATTGGGTCATTAAATTACTATTTAAATTCTAATAAGTTATTTTTATGGCGAAGGAAATTATTTTGGATTTGGGTTCGTATATTTGAAGGTTCGGGTTCTTGAGAAAAACATTGGAAGCTACGAATTAAGTCGGTAAGTTGGTTTTCACTGATTAATCACCCGATTCGATCCGTTTTTCGGAATTAAGCCCCGTTTTTGATGAAATGTTTATTGTTATGTATCTGAGGAATTATTGGAAGATGATTTCAAGATTGAAGGCGTTTGAATGGAATTTAATGGTCGATCAATATTGCACGAAAATCGAGGTAATACTTTACTACCTCTTTATGCTTTATGGAACATGTGAATATTGGTAAATGCATGAATGTAAATGTTTGGTCTAATATGTGTAATTAATGAAGTTCTACACTTGATTCGAATATAGTAAAATCTCGGTATCTGAATATGGCTCAGATGACTATTATAAGAATTGGAGGACAATTGAAATTAAATTCCAAGTTCTTGAATTAAGTGATAAAGGAATCAACCATGGATATGTAGATTATAATTTATCTCATTAAAGGTACTTGAAGGATAAATTATGATAATATTTCGATTAGGCAAAATTACGAAAATACCCTTATATTGTAGGATGACAAGAATTGTCTTTGGAAGTTGGTTAATAACTCTGAAAAGACATATTGATCCGATATAATTACAGATGTGCAGAAGAAATAATAGTTTTGTTTAGAAAATTTGGATAATTGGATTTTAACGCCAAAAGGGGTTTACGCAAGCTACTATAAGTTTGTTATGGAATAATTTCAAGATCAGAGAATGTTCGGGAAAGCAATTGACCATATGATATTTAAATTATAATTATTTTCGTTAAGAGCTAATATCGAAATTATCTGGTTAAGAAATTACGAAAATGCCCTTGAGAGGTAAAATAGTATGAGTTAACCCTGATTGAGAAAGTACTTTGAGGATTTGTACTTAACTCGATTAAGTATGAATTTGAATGTTAAGATCCTGACCTAGTGTAGAAAAATTATTGATATTCCGTTGGTAAAAATATGAGAAAGCATTTGACCCGAAAATATCCAAGTTAATAGTAAATAACTGAAGAACAATTTATCGGGGTGCTCTTTTATCAGAATTATTCGAAGGGACTGAAATAAATGATAAATTAGTATTAAGTAATAAGATCGGATGGAAGGAAAATATTGAAATACTGTGGATCTGTAAAATAACCAAAATACCCCTGGTATGGAAATAACCAAGAATATCACCAAACTCAAGAATGATTAGATATCCCCAAGCTCTGAAATTAATAGAATAAAACTGAGCACTAGAATGACCAAAATACCCTTATGACCTAGACTAAGTAGAGGTGTTGGACTAATTAAGGGATTCAAATAAACATAGGTGTTGTACTACCCTTAAAAGTAATAGAACATAATTTAAGTGAGTAGATCAACCCTAAAGCTATGTCAATATCTGAATGACATAGATATTACTTGAATGCGTGTTCGTCTTCTCAAGTTTGGCTTGATGATGATTTTGGAAGTATTCAGCTCAGCTCAACTCTAGATCGCATTTAGTACTAAGAATTGGATGTTTGTTCGACAAATCAACCACGAAGACCAAATTGAATGGATCAGAATTACAATATATATCTGAAATTCAGGAACGTTTGAATTACACTGGAAAATCCCAAAATAACTGGAATGGACTTGAATGCTATATGAACTAAGTAATCTCAATGACTGAGGATTAAGTAAGTGATTAGGATAAGCCTGGAAATTCGGATGAACTTACATGATGTATCATCCCTATAGATTATGAACCACAAATCAGGTACATTAGCATTTTATGGTATCGTGGAAGCGTGAAAATGTAATAAAGACCATTAGAATATATGTTCATCTCCTTAAGATATGTTTAGTGATGACTCAAAAGTTGATTTATGGATAATAATTGTTGGTATTAAAGAGTGAATACCTGGTAGGACAACGAATGGACCGGTCAACATGCATTAGTTTTGGGAGTTGTTAAACTTGAGTTATTTCAATAATCCGATTAATCGAAGCCGACTATAAATGTCATGAATCTTCATTTCTTCCTTATCAGCTCAAGTTATATTCTGAATAACTGATGATTCCATTAGTTATTGAACTATTCCTATAGTGATTTTAAATTCCGACATTCTATTGGTAAACTGAAGATCCTAGTTTCTCTGCCCAATAAGATTATCAAGTATCTCTGAATAATATCTGATAAATATTTTGATCCTCTAGTGTGTTCCACATGTACTACATGAAAGTTTTATATGTTTCAAATGATTTTTAACGAAAGTATATATTTACTGGTTTATGAACCATGGCAACATAGTATGTGATCTCCGATTACGACTTTCATCGAAAAGTATGAATTGTACATGATTTATGAAATAATGGAATGTACTGGTTCATGAATTATGGTTACCTGAAATGTGTTATATGGTTTCCTATTTTCATTGGAAAATATGAATTGTTCCTGATTTATAGAATCATGGAATTTAGTAGGTGTGCAGGTGGGTGTAAGGTTCTATGGAACTTACACATTATGGAGTGTTGGTTGGAGGGAATAATATGATTTTTGATAATTGTTTTATGGGAGGGTGTTATTGGAGGAAGTTAATGTTACTGCAGGCTCCTCTGCTTTGTGCTCAGGGTAAGTCCTTACTTGGTGTGTAGGTGGGTGTATGGTTCTGGGGAACCTACACATTACGGAGAGTTTAGTTGGAGGGATTAATATGGTTTTTGGAATAAAAATATGTTTTTAAACTACTACTATTTAAAAAGAAAAGATTTGTATCTCTTCACTGATTTTATGGGAACACACTAGATAATCTATTCTGATCTCCTGAACCTAGACATCTGAAATATTTCCATATGAACTTAAAACTCATTATCCGTTACTATCTGAAATATCATTAGAATCTCTGATCTGCATGAAAATTCATTGATGTTCGGAACCAATAAGAAAATATATGTTTATCTGTATCTGCATGTTCTTCAGCATCACCTGGTAGTTCTGTATTACTGAGCTTTTCGAAGCTCACTCTATTACTCACCATTTCAGGGTAAAAGAATTGTATCAGTATCACTATCAACATCAATAAGGGAGTTTTTCCGGCGTTGCTTGCAGAGTACGATACATGTGATTAGGTGACATGTAGATTGTATTTTATTTTATATATGAGTTTGGAAAACCTGTCTTATTTTTGAATAATAATAAATCATTTTATGATTTTACATGTTTTAAGAAAAGTTTTAAATTACGCTATTTTTACAGTGGGTCGCTCCGGTGGCCCTAATGTGACACTCTAGATCAGATCGGGCTATCCGCATCGGTCTGAGGTGGTTACAATGTGGCTCTTAAACTTTATTAAAAAAAATTTAACATGGTCCTTTGACTAACAGTTTTCTTCAATGACCGTTTACACTGCTAATGTGGCCCTTCATGGTACTGAAATTATAATTTAGTGTGCTAACGTGGCGGTCCAGAGTGGCTATTACGTGGCACACCGTGAAGTGTCATGTCAACATCGTAACAGTTAATGTCTGAAACTGTTGGTTAAAGGGTAACATTTATTTTTTCCTCTCAGTTTGAGGGTCACATTAAATGCAACAATAATTTGAGGGTCACATTGATTTTTTTTAAAAAAAGAACAAAAGTCTTATGTACCTTTTTGCCGAAAATTAATATAAATTAAAAAAATAAAATAAATATCAATTAGAAATCGATGACCCGAAAATACTTGTATACAGATTTTATGAGTACCCGACTTGCGGTTACCCTCATATTACTAATTGAGACATGCACAAAGTCTTTGAGACTCGAAAGTCTCGAATACCTAAAAATACGAATTTCTAGATATGAACACCCCTTACTAATACAAATTATAAAAAATGATGTGTTAAATATGTGTATTAAATAAAATTTATATGTCATATTATTACATGTAGTTAGATAATTGAAATTTATTATGATTATTTTTATTAGTTATAACACATCAAAATTTAATCATAAGTTATATTTAAAACACGAATTTCATGTACGAATTTTTGTTATATTTAAAACACGAATTTCATGTTCGAATTTTTATCATTTGTATTAATACTTTATTTGATTAATATTATTGTACTTATTGATTTATTTTATATTTTAATATTATATGAATCGCATATGTTCTCAAGGCTATTCTTTTATTATTATTATTATTATTATTATTATTATTATTATTATTATTATTATTTTCTTAAAAATATATAAAAAATCTTTAAATTAATAATAATACTCGTGCTATGCTCTTAACAGGTGTTTGACTTTGTTTAATATTTAATCCATTGATATATTTTTATATTTTATTATTTTAATAATATATGAATCAAAGAAATAATTGTGCTATGCTCTTAATAATATTATTAAATTATAATTTTTAAAAGTAAATAAATAATTTAGGAGGGTTCCCTCTATTTTCTTTTAATGAAATTGATTTTTTGAGGAAAACTAATTTTTAGAGAAATTTATCCGTATTTATTTTATAAATAATTTTTAAAACCCTCATTGTATTTTGTTTAACCGTTTCAAATCACTATCTCATCTTTTATCTTTCTTCTTTCAACGTGAAGGGGAAAAAATCAATGAGTTTTTTTTTGATATTTGATCTAATTTAATATGATCTGTAGTTTGTGGTTTATACTTGTACTGTTTTTAGGCAATCATGCATAAAAGTAAGAGAGTGCGAGCTACCTCAACGATTTTGGGTGATCCTAAACAATCAAAATCCAATACAAATGATGAGTCAATCAAAAATCAGGTTAAGAGAGATGATGTTTTCATTTTATTTTTAATTGTTAATTATGGGTTTTTTACCATATTATCAAAAGAATAAGAATAAGAATTGTATACAAAAGAGCGTAAATTCAATTTATTTATTTGATTTAGGACTTTTTTGATTTCATTGTTTATAGGGCCATCTTTGAGAATGAATTTACATTATTAAATCTGTATTTTGTAAATTATTATTTTATTAAATGTGGATTTTGATATTATCAAAAGAAGGGAATAAGGAAAAAGAATTTCTATGTTCTATATCATTGAAAAACAAGAAAAGAAAGAACATACATTAAAAGTTTCTGACTCTTGTTTCAACTACTTCCACCTTTGTTTGGTTGATAAAAGTTCATGTTATATCATTGGAAAACAAGAAAAGAAAGAACATACATTAAATTTTAAGCTCCCGCGGCTTGTTTCAACTGCTTCCACCTTTGATTGGGTGTTAAAAGTTCATGTTATTGGTCAAATTTCCATGAACTTTTAATTTGTTTAGGCTCTTGTTTGTTGTCGTTTAAATAATAGTTTCTTAACAATTAGGTATAAGAATGTTTTTTAATTTCAATGTTCTTAATCAATATTATTCTTATTTTTTATTTACTAATTTATTTGTTATCTTTTCTAACACTTATTTACTATGATATTGATAGGTTTAGGAAATATTATTTCTAGCAATCAAAATATTATTATGCTCAGTCAAAGATCAATACAATCAAACTTGTAAAATATGTCAAGTGAGACAACACCAATCGAATCATTGAATAACGAAGGTAAGTTGTGTCAACCAAATAAATTTATGTACATTTTTATATTTTATATTAAATTTTAGTTTATATTAATCATATCTTTACATTTATATATTTACATATTTATAGTTATGAAAAAAAGAGGTCGTGGAGTGACTAGAGTGTTTGAGGTGAAAAAACGATTGAAACAAAATGGTGAACTTAAGAGTGTAAAGATAGAAAAAGGATTGCATTTACCAATTGGTGATGATGAACATCTACTTAAATTGGAGGCAGGAATTACCACTTGAAATTTTATACCAACTAATGTATTTTATTGGAAGGATGTGAAGGGTGAAGATAAAGTACCTATGTTCCAAAAAATCAAGGTTAGATATATTGCTAACTATTACTTTTAAATTAATATATTATATTTATTTCTTAAAATACTATATTTGTATTAAATATTTTTAGTATGAATTTAACATACCTTTGGATGATCGACATGCAAAAAAAAAAAGTAATAGATAAAATGATGGTAAGGCGTTTTACAACCTTTAAACACAAATGGCATATGCATTTCAAGAAGTTTATTTCTTCAGAAGAAGCATAAGCAAACCCACCTAGCGATGTGAAGATAGATGATTGGAAGAAAATGTGTAAACAATTTGAAAGTGACAAATTTCAAATAAAATATTTTCTATATTGATTAATTATGTATTATTTATGAAATAAAATAAACAAAAACATATTATATATATGCAGTGTCAAAGCAAAGCAAATAAGAGCAACAGGGAAAAAAATGAGGATTCCACATACTTTAGGTTCAAAATCATTTGTACAACGGATTTATGAGTTGATATGTTTTGAATTATTTATTTCTTTTGTATTTTATTTAGAATAAGAGTAGTTAGTAAATTACTTTTTCTTCATCAATTTTATATTTGAATTTGAATTTTCTAAATTTAGGAGAATATCTAGGAAAATATTGAAATCCATTCAGAAGAGCCAAATATCTGACCATGCTAAAATGAAACTGTACTATGATGCACATCATAAAAATGATGGAGCATGAGTTAACCAACAAGCGGAAGAGAACTATGTAAGATTTTATTTGTCTAAAATATAATTTTTGTTTATTAAATATTTCAACCTTTTGATTTCTTTCACTTATATTTGCAGGAAAAAATGAGAACAATCTTAATTGAAGAGTCTGAAAAAGGCATTGAAGTGAATGGACGTCAAATTTTAGAGAAGGTTTTAAATTCAAAATATGGTTACATTCGTGGACTTGGTTATGAAGCAAAGCCAAGTAGTTCCAAAAAATTGGAATTGAAATCTGCTTTAGATGCTGAAAGGTTTGAGAATGAAAATGAACCCAAGAATTAGTAGTTCAACTACAAAGTCAAAATGCTGAAATTCTTGATCATAATGAAACAATCAATAAGTTGAGAAAATCAAAGTGTTCTCCAAAATCAGATTCAACAATTACTTTAAAGATTTGGAGGAAACACATCTTCTTGAATATTAAGGTAATATTATAATTTAATTTTTAATAATAAAATATATTTCATATGCTATTTTTTAAATATTTATTAAAAACTTAATATATTTAACACTTTTTCTTTACATGTAGGTGTGGAAGAATTTATGGATAATTTACTTTTATTTGTAGGGAGGACTTTATATTTTTAGCAATTTTATTCTAAACATTTTATGTTTATTTTAATGATATTTAATATTAGTTTTATTTTTATTAGATTTTTAAATATATTTTTAGTTACCATAATCAATTATTTTAGTTATAATAACAAATTCAAACAAATGCTATTTTGTAAAACCAACAAATTATGGTAATTTATTTAGACACAATAACAAATTAAATTTAGTTAAAATAAAAAATATATATGTTAAATTTCTTTAGTCAAAATAGTTTCTCAAAATAACAAATTATGACAAATTTAAATAGTTATATTAATAATTTATAATAAATATTAATTTCTCAATATAAAAAATTATGACAAATAATATTTTTCATAATAATAAATTATAATAAATTTATTTAGTCTCAATAACATGTTAAAATTAGTCAAAATAAAAATTATGTTAAATTTATTTCGTCACAATTTTATCTCAAAATAACAACTTTTGACAAATGTATTTAGTCAAAATAACAATTTATAACAAATATTAATTTATCAATATAAAAAATTATGGCAAACAATATTCTTTCACAATAACAAATTATAACAAATTTATTTAGTTACAATAACACAGTAAATTTAGTCAAAATAAAAATTTATGTCAAATATATTTCATCACAATATTTTCTCGAAATAACAACTTTTGACAATTTTTTAGTCTTAATAACAATTTATAACAACTATTAATTCCTCAATATAAAAAATTATGACGACAAATAACATTCTTTCACTATAACAAATTGTAACAACTTTATTTAGTTACAATACACGTTAAATTTAGTCAAAATAAAAGTTATGTCAAATTTATTTGGTCACAATATTTTGTCAAAAAAATTTGTGACAAATTTTTTAATTAAAATAACAATTTATAATAAATATTAATTTCTCAATATAAAAAATTATGACAAGTAATATTCTTTTACAATAACAAATCGTAACATAACTATTTAGTAAAAAAAGTTATAAAAAATATATAGTGACGAAATAATAGTGGTGATAAATAAATTTTGTTGTAATATGTCTTTTTGTTAGGAAAACTTTTTTTGTTTGATGTTACAATATTAGTTAATTGTGACGAAATTTACTTTTTATGATAAAATAAATATTCTATTTTAACAAATATTGTCTATGTAAGTTGTATTTAGTGACGAAATAGAAACTTTGACAAAATAATTTTTGTTGTCGTATGTATTTTCGTCACAAAAACCCTTTATATTTGATGTTAAAATATAAGTTAATTATGAAAAAATGTACTTCTCGTGACGAAATGGTTAATTGATTGTGACAAATATTTTATTGCGATAAATTAATTATAGTAACGAGATTTCATTGTTACAATAAATACTATACAATGGTAACGAACACAATTTTATCACAATATACTTTACATGACAAGATTGTTCTAACAAATATAGTAATAAATAAAATTGGTCAAAAATAAATATATCGTGACAAATTTAGTACTTTTAGTAATAAATAATTTTGTTGGAACAATCAAAATTTCTTGTAGTGTACCCAAAAAAAATACTGAGATAAATTTTAATATTTATCAAAATTCATATGGTATAAATCTACTATCATAGTAGTTTTAGTTTTTAGAATGATTTAAATAATATATAATATATTGATTAGGAAGTGAATGTTTACATAACCTTAAACAGTAGAGTATACCATGGTTTGATAATTTATGAATGTATAAACTTCAAGCTGATGGTTTTATGGTTAATGACAACTAGTAAATGCAACTATGAGTTAGCAGCCCTTGAGATTGTATCTACGTTTTGCAAGCAAACAAACAATAATGAAAACAAGTTTATAACCATCTAAATGAAAAGAACCATTAAATAAGGTCAATAGTAAAAGACAAAATGTTGTTTTTAAAAGACCTGATTTTTCTCATGTACTTGAAGAGATGCTTTCACATTTTATCCAGCTTTGATTCAAGCAGTGGAGATGCAAGTAAACATTTGCCTACATCAGACATATATTTGTTCTCTCTCGGTTTGTAAAACTTCGGGCCCATTCCATGCTCAAAATAGTCCACACTCTTTTCAACATTTTTACAGTGCACACTAGTCTTATAGTGATTTTGTACATTTTATTGTATTACAATCTTATTTAAAATAATTTTTATATATCTAAATTAAGGGCAGCATTGCTGTATTTCCTCAACCACTTTTGTGTCCTTTCTATCCTTTTTTATTTTTCAGTTGATTATTGTTTAATTTTAGGGTAAATTATATCAATAGTCGCTAAAGATTGAGAAACTTTTGCTTTCATCACTGAAGTTTTAAAAGTTATAAAAAAGTCACTAACATTATCAATTTCTAACAAAATGGTCACTCGACCGTTAAATGTGTGACATAAATCTGATGTGCAAATTAAGGAGTTGATTTGGCACCTTTGACTCCTTTAAAAGAAAACAAAATATATAATTTCTATATAAAAATATATTTTTTCTTCATCAAATCTCTTCACACCTTCATTCTTCACTCAGCTGTTTTATTGTTTTGTTTTCTATTTTTTTGGGTTTGTGATACATTCCTACCCATGCACTTGTATTCATACTTTCATCTTATTTCACAATGATGGAGGTCAAAGGAGTCTTTACATACTCTTTACATTCTTACTTTATTCATTTCATGTATACTTATATTATATCATTTATTCTTTGCATGATTATTACTTATTGTTATGCTATCTTGCTTTACTTTATGCATCTTATGTTTAGACTAATGTTCATGCATTTTAGACTTCATCTATTGGATATAAATTAAGTTTTATAGCATGATAGTATCCCCACATCTTTATACTTTGCTTATGTTTATATTATCAAATGCATTCATTCTTAGCTCATTTACCTACATATCGTAGGCAACAACATGCATAAGTGTTATTCCTAGCTCACACAAGTCTAATTTACTTGTCTTCTTGATTTACATAGGTGAAAGCATTGGCAACAAACCTTATGGAAGCTTGGTAGCAAGGAAATCAAAGCATGACAGCTTACAACCAGCTAAAAGCAAAGGAAATGAAGCTCACATATCAAAAGGAAGCTCAAAGCTTAAGGATATTAGCTCAAGGATAGCTAAAGGAGCTGAATGGGAGCTAAAGGTAGTTGGAGAGCAGCTGAGGATCTAGTAGTTGAGCTGAGGACATGAAGCAATTGGAGGAAGCTAAGGTGGCAGCTGAGTAGCTAGAGTGTCACTTGCTAGTTATCTTAAGTCAACCTAGCTACAACTCACCTAACTAGCTACTTAAGCAATGGCATAGTCAACTAATATCCATCATGTGCCAAGCATGCCAATGGCCAAATCTATCATCAACTCTTTAGTCTTGTAAAACATGTGACATCAAGGTAGAGATCGTATACAAGGTTAAGTGCTTACCATGTGACCCTTTAGGCGCCAAGTTCAAATGCAAGGACCAAACCATTCGACCAAAGCAAGTGACTCCTCATCTAGGCGCCAAAGTGAAGCAACACAATAACCATTCGGCCAAAGCACATGACCTCTCATCTTAGTCGAAACATCATCACCATTCATCACTCTTTGTATTTGAAAAATTATGTACTTATGAAAGGAAAAAAGGGTTGGCTGAAATATCATGTATCCGTTCAGCTCTACCTTCCCATTTCCTATAAATAGCCAACACATTTGGCATTGTAAACATCATCCTTTGATCATTCAATATACTTTTGATATTATTATCTCTTCTTTATTTCTTTTGTGACTTTATCAACTTATCATTAGATACTTGTGGTTCTTATCTCTATATAGATAGTGGGTCCAAGTCATTATTTACCACCCCTTAAAGAAGTAATATAGGATTTGGGTCTATGTTCTTTAGCATAGGTTATTCCTTAAGCCTTATTTAAGATACTATCATTCTATCACCACCATATCTATCCATTTCTTTCATAAGCCTAAACCATTCCCATCATCATCCAAAACCAACCTCTTAATTTCATCATTCTTTTTTTTATCTTACTTTTATTCTAGCCTTCCTTTACACCCTTTATCAATTATCCAAGCCTTTCTTTTTGAAGCCATTCACTTACTTGCAAGTTACATTTTTCCTTCATATATCCACAATCAAAATGTAATCCATACTACATCAAGCGATACTCAGAGCCTTGGTGGAAGAAGCAAACGTACAACAACAAAATGAGGACCTATAAAAGAAAAGAAGGAAAAGAAGTAAAAAAATAGAAGAAAAGTGCAAATGTAACAAAAAGACTCCACAACAATCAAACAAGGAATTTAAGAAAAATAAATGATTTTTTTAAAAAAGAAAGCACTCAAGTGAAGGGATCAAAATGCACAAACAACACCATCTTCAACCATCAAGCCAAGAAGTATCTTCAAGGATTTGATTGTGGTAATAGTGAGGTTGTAAGTGACTTTCTTAATAAGTAACATTTTCTTTATTTTCTCTTTATTTCTAAGACATCTATTGCATTGTATTTTGTTTTTTCCCCTACCTAACAATCTTTATAACCGACGTTTCATAAGTTACTCTACTTGTGAGGTCTTGCGTAAGTCTACAATAGAACTTTGCAAGTAAGTAAGGAGTGGGAAAGGCTAAGTGAGTGGTGAGATTAGAAGATGACGTGTAAAAGCCATTGAAGTCCTAAGTGCAAATACGGGTGATTGAGTGATATTTCAATTTTCTTTGGAGTGTTTTCATGAGGCTTTATGAGAGTACTTTGGTAAGGTACTATTACACATTCTTTTCATTTCTTATCTGCTCACAATGTATCAAGGTTCAGAAAATGGAGAAAGAGGAGAAGTACCTAATCTACAAGCACAAGCAACCTTGAGAAAGATATTAAGATTGCTTCAATTGGAACTTAAACCACTCTAAGAAAGAATTGATAGAGTTAAGCATCAAGAGGAAATGGAAAGAATAATCCTATTTCTAGGAGACAATATCAACCAAGGCAAAGAGAAGAATATTATGAAAAGAATGAAGATGATGCAAGGGTTGACCAAACATATCAAGGATCAATAAGGAATGCTCTGAGGGATCGTGTAGGAATTTATTTTTCGATGACAATCTCAAAAGTATAAGAGTTTCCATGCTCCTATTCCAAGGAAAAACAGATCCTGAGGCCTATATTGATTGGACAGCTAAAGTGGAACATGTATTTGAATGCCACAATTACTCTGAGCAAAAGAAAGTCTGAATGGAAACCATATAATTCAAAGAATATGCTTTGGTACAGTGGGATTAGTTGGTTACTACAAGAAAAAGGAATGGTGAGTGCTCTATCACTACTTGGAATGACATGAAGACTATCATGAGGAGAATATTTACACCCGTTCACTATCAGCGTGACTTATTCTATAAGTTACAAAATCTCAAGCAATGGAGCAGAAGTGTAGAATATTATTTCAAAGAGATGGAAATAGTCGTGATTTGTGCCAACGTTGAAGAGGATCGAAAAGAAACTATGGCGAGGTTCTTATCTAGTTTAAACCATGAGATTACTAACCTTGTTGAATTGCAACATTATGTTGAAATAGAAAAGGCGATGTACATGGCCATGATAATTGAAAGACAAATCAAGAAAAGAAAACAAAAGTGAGTCAACAACTTTTCAACCAAATGGAGTCTAGGAAACAAAAACTTCAGAATGCAATCTCCTTTACAAATCAAGTAGAACGTGGAGACACAAAGACCTAAGAAAATAGTGGTGGAAAGCTGTAAGGGAAAGGACAAACAAGTAACCAATTTCGAGATGACACAAGACATTAAATGTTTCAAGTGCTTAGGAAGAAGACAATTTGTAAACGAATGCCCAAACCAAAACATTATGTTTCTACTATACAGAGGAGAAATTGCATATGATTCAAAACACAAAGACAATAGAGAAAAAAGAAGAAGAAAAGGTTGAAGAGGAAAAAAAGGAAATTGAATATGCTGTTGATGGTGCGTTGTTGGTTGTTAAGAGGCTCTTGAACACTCAAATGGTGAATGAAGAACATTAAAGGGAGAACATATTACATACAAGTTGTAATGTCAATGTCAAAGTTTGCTTTATGATCATAGATGGTGGAAGTTGGACAAACATAGCGAACACTATTATGGTGGATAAACTATAATTGAACACTTTCAAGCATCCAACTCAATAAAAATTACAATGGCTCAATGATGGATGTGAGTTGAAAGAAAAAAAGGAAAGTTCTGGTTTATTTTTCAATTGGAAGGTACAAAGATAGTGTTTTGTGATATAGTCCCTATGCACAAAAGTAACATACTACTTGGGAGGTCATGACAATATAATAACAAGATCATCCATGATTATTATATCAACCATATTCATTCAAGCATGAAGGGTGAAAGGTCATTCTAGCACCCTTGTCACCAAAGAAAGTGAAACATGATAAATTACAAATGAAAAGGATTATTGAATCCCTAAAGAAGAATCTAGATGTTCCTAACAAAAAGGAGGAAAAAGCCTAGAAGACTAATCTTTTCACCAAGCGTTTTGGTGTTCCAAAGGAGGAGATTGGAAATATTAGTACATTTTTGAAAAATCATGATAATTGGAACCAAAATACAAATCTTTAATTGCATGATTGTGCTGTTTTGAATCAACAACAAGAATGACACCAAAATGTAATTACCTTTTCATAAAAAAAGACTTATTCTTTTATTTTGTAAAATGAAACTATTGAAAGACACTCTTCAAAAGGAATGTCCTTTGAAAAGGAATTTTTAGAAAATGTACATATGTGTAATAGACATTCAAAAGAAAGCCTTTGGAGGGAAATCTATCTAAAATAGAATCTTTTGAAAGAAACCATTTTAAAGAGAAGCTTGCGAAGGAACATGACTCATGGAAGGAAAGAGCTCCTATGATTTTCACCTTTACTTATAAAGATGATGACTCTAGGTGAGGAGACAACAATAAACATAAGTATTCGGCCTAGAAGAGGATATAATAAGATTGAGCAATCCAAAGGAGAAGAAAAAGAATGATTTCAAACATATCTATGAAAGATAACTATAAAGAAACAATGAGCTTCGATTTAAGGACAAATTTCCTCAAACAAGAGGGGATGATAAATCCTACTCATGCACTTACTCATCTTCTTCATACTTTCATCTTATTTCACAAGGATGAAGGTTAAGGGAGTCTTTACATATTCTTTACGTTCTTACTTTATTCATTTCATGCATACTCACATCATTTCATTTATTCTTTGCATGATTATTACTTATTGTTATTATGGTATCTTACTTTACCGTATGCATCTTATGTTTAGACTAATGATCATGCGTTTTAGACTTCATATATTGTATATTAATTAATTTCTTAGCATGATATTAGCCTCACATCTTTATACTTAGCTTATGTTATGTTTATGTTATCAATTGCATTTATTCTTAGCTTATTTACCTATATATCATAGGCAGCAACATGCATAAGTGTTATTCCTAGCTTACACAAGTCTAATTTACTTGTTTTCTTTATTTACATAGGTGAAAGGATTGAAAAATGAACCTTGTGGGAGTTTGGTAGCAAGGAACTCAAAGTATTAAAGCTCATAACTAGCTAAAGCAAAGGAAATAAAGCTCACCTAGCTAAAGAAAGCTCAAAGCTTAAGGATATTAGCTGAAGGCTAACTAAATGAGTTGAATGGAAGCTAAAGATAGCTGGAGAGTAGCTGAGGACCTAGTATCCGAGATGAGGATTAAAAGCAACTAGAGGGTAGCTAAGGTGGTATCTTAGTAGCTGGAGTGTCACTAGCTAGCTAGCTTGAGTCTACCTAGCTACTATTCACCTATCTAGCTACTTAATCATTCACCTAGTCATCTAACATCCATCACGTGCCAAGCATGCCCATGGTTGAACCTATCATCAATCTTTTAGGCATGGAAGACATATGAGATCAAGGGAGAGATCATATGTAAGGCTACACAAAGTTCTTACCATGTGACCCCTTAGGCGCCAAGTTCAAATGCAAAGACCCAACTATTCAGCCAAAGTAAGTGACTCCTCTTCTAGGTGCCAAAGTGAAGTAACACAATAACCATTCAAACAAAGTACATGACCTTTATCCTAGCCAAAACATCATCATAATTCATCACCCTTTGTATTTGAAAATTTATATACTTATGAAAAGAAACAA